CCCGTCTGCTGCCTGGTCCGCGTGGAATTTTGGCGGGTGCTAACGACTGCAGATGCAGCCAGGACCAACGGCTTAACGTGCCTTCCGAAGCACGGAGGATCTCGAGATAGAAGTTTTTTGGTCACCCATCCAAAGACCGACCACTGCGAAAGTTGCTTAACTTCAACGATCGCAGCCGAACGCGCTAACCACCTGCGCCAACGAGCTCCTCCTCCAAAAAAAAACTTAATTATTATTAAGTGTATTAAAATAAGCGCAACTCACCATCAACCGTTGGGCGAGTATACATTTTTAATGATTTTATATGCATATTCCATGCCTGACACACTGGTTTTTAAACCAGCGATAAAACTATTAGAACTACACTCTCGTTTCCCGCTTCTCGCCAACTCTTTCTAGTTTTTAGCTCTACTCGCTTTTCAATAATTGTCTGCGTCAGAACAAGTGCCTAAGGCACGACCAGCCGTTCTTCTTCCTGCCCTCTCTCCTAGGCGGTGTTGGCTGCATCTACCATCATTAACGCACCAATTCACACTTGTCCCGCTGGTTCATGGCCTGCTATCTCTGTTCTGTCTGTGCAAGGATTCTCAGCAGTGAGGACATTAATATGATGATGATTTACTATTTGTACAGGAAAGTTAGCAGCTGATGCAATGTATCTTTTTCGTGTATTCTGCTACAAAACTTTCCTAATATCTCTTTTGTTTACCAAAAATCACCGGACTGTCGAAATCCTTCCAGTTCAAATACCACGACAAAAGGGATTACAATCATATAACGATGGAGAGATTTAAGGATAATTTGTTCCGAAAATTTTGCGTCATTTGGGCAACCATCGTTCTAACGCAACGGAATTCCGTAGTTCGCGTCTTTGAGATTCTTTCCGTGTCAAAGCGTTCATTGAGCGCCTATGATTTCCTAAAATAACGTCTTATTCAATGTCGTCAAAATAAATCTTACGCCACACTTTTACGCAAGTCGTAAGCAGCCGGTCTATAAAGGAGATTGGTCAAATTGGCCTAAATGCAAATAAAATATTGACATATACAGTAATTCTTGGCGTAATTTATACTTTATTTTACAGTCATTAGATTTTAACGGCCACCTTTAAATAATATATTAATTTTAAAAAAGGACTTCTATTTTTACCGGTTTGGAAAACATACGAATCATTTTTATTGGCTATGGGTGTAGTAACATTCACAAAGACTGATCGAGGTTGTTTATATAACATCAAAACAAATCTATTTTGTAAAGATTGATAAAATATATTTTTTTTATTACACGGGTGGTATTAATATCCACAACTTTATTATCATTTTTACTACATGCAAATGTGCTAAGACAATTAATATAGATGGTAGGCGACATCATAAAGTCTATTGCCGTACATTTTTTGCCAAACACCTAAATAAACACATTATAAGGTGTGATACACTAAAAATCTAAAATATGGTTATAATAAAAACATAACAAAAATAATGAAGCTGCTTTCTTTGATTAACGAGAGTTTAAAAATTCTCTCTAATCTGTGGCTCATTCACAATCATCACACAGTTTCTGTTCGTGTTTTTAAAAACATGCACATATCTGTTATTTTACATGCTCTATATACCTGAATCTAATACATAATATCGGTAGGTACTTGGCTTGAATGCCCTATTTTCCTATATAAGTTATTTGGTTTTTATTATTCTAATACCTATGTGCCTATTTGCAAACATAACCTCAAAATCATTCAGTGTATATGGTTTATAGAAGTTCTCAGGAGTGGCCGTCGATAATATTCGTTTCTACGGTAATTTATATATAATTTCGAATGTAGGAAACAATTTTTCATGGTTATTGGTTTTTAGGCCAAACATGTATGGAAGCTGAGCAATCTCCTTTGGTAACTTGTTGTTATTTTTATTTCCAGTAAATTGCCTGCTTCGTGTCGCACTGCTCTCTTTACCAAATAGATTCTGTTGTTACAAAAAATATTATATTAATTTTGTTTGTTATGCTAATAAAATACGGGAGTTTGCCCTTTAAAAAAACATTCAGAAAACATCTCAAAATATATCTTCTTCATTTACAAAGTTTAGAATAAAATTCAAAACTAACCTAGTTATTTTCACGTCGCGCCGGTTAGTTTGGATCGTTCCGGTTATCTTAGCTAGCACTATCGACGATTCACGTAATGTTTGTTGGTGATTTGAAGCCATATTCTAATTTAAAATCTCGCCATCCAGTTTGCTATGTTTATATGGTTATGTTGTATATCCATGCCAATAATTGTAATCGTATTAATCGTTGCGTACAGGCATGGATTCGGCAGTAGAAATACTATAAAATTTGCAATTTCTTTTAATTATTAGTTTTTTATATTAGTTTTCTTTCTTTTGTTTTTTGTTTAGGTCTTCCAGTCTGTAGTCTGTCCTACCACAGATAAATCATTCTTTTTTTTATTTTTTCTTTTAAATTTTTTGTACTTTCTCTGTAAAGTTAAGGATTATGAAAACATTCAGCCTAATTTGTTATTATCTTTTTTTTTTTAAAGTGTACATTGGTATGGTTGTATTATAAAGTCTCATCTGTGTCATCAACCTTAGGCCCTGCCAGAATCACCAGCGCTGCAGCAGCCCTGGTGTTGCTGCAGTATCAAGCTGAGGCAGGGACCTAGTTGACCAAAAAAATTTTTTTTTTATTGTTCTTATTTTAGGTTAAAAATACTGTTAATATATATTATATATATTTATATAAAAATACTGTAAATAGTTTAGTTATGGTCAATAAAATTTCTTTCTTTCTTTCTTTCTTTCTTTACACAATCATAACAAAATGGATACCTACAAAACAAACATGCTATCTTACCACATACTGATTTTCTTATTATAGGCGAAATACTTAAATTATTGTAATTGCAAGTGTTAAGTGGTAGTGCGTTCAGACTGCGATCGAGGAAGCTAAGTAACTTTCGCATTAGTCGGTTTTTGGATGGGTGAACATACACTTATTATCTTAAGCTCCTCCGTGCTTCGGAAAGCACGTTAAGCCGTTGGTCACGGCTGCATCTGTAGTCGTTAGCGCAAACGTTATCGAGTGATTCCTCCTTGGTTTTTATCACTAGAGAAATGATTTTCATACATAAAATAGTTTTATTCAGTCTATGCTCCTATGTCTTCCTTTTTTCGATTAATTGTGTTTAAAAGCAAGTAGAAGCCTTCAAAAATACCAAATAATAAACAAATTTTTACCACCACTAAAGTCAAGTGAGGAGATTCAATAAGCATTTACAAAACCAAAACATAGAGGCCTAGCATAACTACTTATAGCTATGGTCACAATTTCTTTTATATTTTAATTTTCGAGAAGGTAGTCGTCGAGAACCAAACCTCGAATTTTGTAATTTTTATGCGCAATTTTAAGCGTTTGCTACTGTTTGTTTGTTTTTGTTTTGTTTTTTCCTTTCGCGGGGTATTTGCTAATGCGAGACAGCAAAAGTTTTTTCAAATACCTATTTCTCAAATGTCTCTCACCTCGCGTCCGCTCTTAATAGGCTGTGATGATGATGAAGTATTATCCAGTGGCGAAGTAAGCTAATGTGGCGCAAAAATTCTGTTAATATTACAATAATACATCCTTGAAAAATTAGAAACAATAGACGATGACACTGACAAACACGGCATCCAATTTGTGAAGTCCAAGGATTCCCAATTGGCATCGGACATTGGATTCATCATACTCAACACTAACCACAGAACACAAAAATAGGTTAGAGGGGCAGGTGTGCCGTAGTTATGTGCGAGCAAATATTCATATCTCTCTGAATGTCTCTGAATATCGGTCTCATAACAAAACTCAGAGTGGCGCAGCTTGCTATGGAGAGGGCAAAGCTCGGTGTTTTCCTACGTGATAAGATTCGAAATACGAAAATCCGTAGAAGGGCCGGTGTGTACGACATAGCCCGAAGAGTTAGCACACTGAAGTGGGAATAGGCAGGCCAAATCGCTCGAGGATCTGACAACCCTTGCGTAAGAAAGGTCCTCGAGTGGCGACCGCGTACCGGACGACGCAGCGTGGGCCGGCCCCCAACAAGGTGGACTGACGACATCGTCAAATGTGCTGAGAGCCGCTAGATGCGGATAGCGCAGGACCGCGCATTGTGGCGTTCTATGGGGGAAGGCCTATGTCCAGCAGTGGACGGAGAAAGGCTGATGGATGGATGGATGGAAATATTCACAACTTGATTCTGATGCGTCGTTGCTCTTGGGTGTGAGTGCTGATTGGTTCGATTGTTTGATGTCGCGTCGTTTGATAGGCTATTATCTAATAGGTGGAAGTGTAGTGGGGGCGATCTGGCGACATCGGTTTCCGTATAAACGGTCTTTATCACTCTCCTAACCTCTTTCTGTGTTCTGTGGATTTAACGTTGGTGTGTTTCTGTCAGGTGGTGTACACGTGGAAGATGGATCACCCTTCTAACCTCTTTGTGTTTTGTGAATTTAATGTTAGTGTCAGACACTGACAGTACGGCTGGTCCACAGGTTCAAAGTCGCTCAGCGCGCTATGGAAAGGGCTATGTTCGGCGTTTCTCTGAAGGATCCCATCAGAAATGAGGTAATCCGACAGAGAACGAGAGTCATCGACATAGCCCACCGGATTAGCAAGTTGAAGTGGCAGTGGGCTGGCCATATTTGCCGAAGAACCGATAACCGTTGGGATAGACGAGTTCTGGAGTGGAGACCGCGTCTAGGCAAACGTAGTGTAGGACGTCCTCAGGCACGATGGAGTGACGATTTGCGCAAGGTGGCTGGCAGGAGCTGGATGCAAGTAGCTCACGATCGATCTGAGTGGCGTGCAATTGGAGAGGCCTTTGTCCAGCAGTGGACTAGGATAGGCTGTTGATGATGATGATGAATGTTACTGTGTTTCTTTCAGGTGGTGTACACGTGGAAGACGGATCACCCTTCTAACCTCTATGTGTTTTGTGAATTTAATGATAGTGTTTCTTTCAGGTGGTGTACACGTGGAAGATGGACTTCAACCGCAGCATGCTCGGCGCGGCGACGCTGCTGGTGCCGCGGCCGCCGACGCCGGCGCCCCCCGCTGCCGGGACCGCCCCAGCCCCGACGATGCCGCTGTGGGCGCACAACGCGTGGGTGTGCCTCTTCGCCGCCATGCTGGCCGTCGCGATAGGCGGGAACGCTATCGTCATCTGGATCGTCACAGGTGAAAACATCAATTCATATTCCTTATTTTTTTTTAATTATTGAAGTTATACTTCTTTAGGCGCGTTATGAAAAAATGATGAGAGTGAAATTTTAAGATGCGCGCGCATCACTGTAACACAAAATAAGCGACCAACTTCATGCTGTTACTTTTGTGTTTACCGCACATTAAGAAAATCTACCAACAAAATAGAATCTCTATTTAATGGGTGCTAACGACTGCATTGTGAAGGCCTATCAAAAGTATTTATTAATCTGGAACAACGGAACCAAAGCGCGATTCAGGAGACTACAGCGCCATCTCTTGACCATTGGTGTAGTAGAACCAAAAACCACATCTTTATTTTTTGTAATAAAGTAACAGTTATAGGTATTCATATTTATAATATTTATCCACATGTTTCTAGTTTGTATATTCGGAATACGTGTTTGAGTTTCATACAAGTGCAAATCACATATGATTATTTATTTATTTTTTCAAATTAAAACTGAACTTTATTGACTGTGTCCTTTTCCAGACTTTTTATTAATTTATTGTAATTAATTATTTGCATGCAATTAAAAACTAATTTTAAACGATGCCAAAGAAGGATAACTTCTCACGCGCCTACATAAGTACACGCACCCATTTTTTTTGTTTATAGTCAGGCAACGTAGGCCCATAGATAAATACCTTATAGTCTAATATAAATACAGATATAGGTAATACATTAAATGTTAATAATTAAAAGATAATAATAACTATGTTAGTAGAAACCTAATTAACACGTATAGACGGCGACGTGTGACGCGGAGTGGTGTCAGGTAGCCGGCCTCGGAACCGCCGGAACACAACACCTTTTCTTCTTTCATGAACGTCACCAGATGTTCGGTTGGCACCCGCACCACAAAGGAATTAAAATTCACTTTGTGACGAGATTCCAACCGTGCGACTCTGAGGGAGAATTTGTTCTTAATCCGCAGGTACTCTACGATCTCCTCTTCCTTCGTAGAGTAATTACTATTTTTATTTTTTAGGTATACAAAGCGTCAGTCTTTTGAATAGGAGCTATTGGAGGGTTCACGTACCATCCCTTCTGAATGTCTGACGCGATCTATTTTTCCCCCTATATTCTACCCCTTCGTAGGGCCGCCCTAACCTCCTCCTCAGAACCGTGACGATTTAGACACGAACGAAAGTCATGGCCGTTTGAAGAAATTATTTTTTCCTGCCCTAGATCCTTGGCCATACATTCGGAGTACATTCAGAGTTACAAGGTGCTTCTTATGTTATTCTGCCACGTACGAGTAAATCCAAAAATCCCCGCTTAGGCTCCCTTAAAATAAATCAATCGTCAATATGGGCGAGGCAGAAATGACTTTCTGCTGTCGGAATACCAGCGCTGTTACGGTGGGAATATTCCCGTCCCATTGTAACAGCATTAAGCTGTGGCAGGGTCCTAATTGGCCTTTCTTCTTTTTGCATATTGTTGGTCTCTGTTTGTTTTTATTTTTATCGGTATATAATTTTGTTACATACTTGTGTTTTAAGGCCAATAAATGATTTTTCTTTCTTCTTTTGGTTTGAGCTATCTTCCTGCTTGGGCGCGCGGCGACATACTTTGAGCTTTTGATGAATATTTCTGATTGCGATAACGCAGTAGTTAGCGAGTCCAGTACCCCTAGCACGAACTAATATCGAATTCGTATCGTTTGCGAGTCCGCAATGTCATTGTCAAATGTGTACTGATTTTTAGTTCCCGTTACGTCCAAAGTGGCCTGATGTTCAAGATTCAGTTTGCAAACTATTCGAATTCGATAATGGTTCGCGCTAGGGGTACAGTTCGCAAACGTGGAGGTTACAATGAGCATATCGCTTAAAATGACTGTGGCGGCGACATCTACACGACCCACATATAATTAACGAAGCAAAACTTGCCACTCCATAACAATAGATGGCGCTACTGGCGCTGTAGTCAAAATACATCGCACTAAAGAAATTCGGAGGCTAACACTTCATATACACAATGTCCCAACAACATCAGTTGGGTCACGACCCCCGAGCTAATATCACCCAACAAAATTATTTTCATTCTTCATTTTTCTCCTTTCTCTCTTGATCTCTATTCCTTCCTGTCTAAGCCCGTCCCCTCTCTTTTTGGGGACCCTCTCTTTTTGGGGACCTGTTCTCTATGTATCCCACTGCCTTCTGCAAGGCATACCTATAGCCATGCCGAGGACGCTTGGTTGGAGGGCTGCAGGTCACTCTCTTGTCCAGTCTGTCTGCTTACCACAAATAAAAATAACTGCAAAAGCGAAACAGTTCAATAAACAAAAAACACAATTGACGACCTCCGTGACCGAGTGGTTTGTACGCCGGGTTTCATTGTGACGTTTACTCGAGAGGTCCCGGGTTCGAATCCCGGTGGGGGCAGATGTATGTGTGATGAATACGAGCATTTGTACTCCAGTCATGGATGTTTAATATGTATTTCTATATAAATATACTTATATATGTACAGTATATGTATTCTATCCGTTACCCTAGCATTCCATAACACAAGCCTTATAGCTGTGCTTACTTTGGGGCTAAGCTAATTGGTGTGAGTGTCGGAAATATTTATTATTATTATTTATCAAAAGAATATAAACTCCTTTAACAAATGGTTCCGTTTTTACTCTTTGGGTACCTACGGAACCCTAAAAATGTCATTGCAGAAAGGGGAACCTTCTGCCTGCCTTGCTTCTTCTTTTTTATTGATTATAATGATTATAGTTAATGATGCTCTAACTAATGATATTTTTGCATGTGCCAACTTTTACCCTTTTATGTAATACAACAAAAGTGGCGTTAATGCTTGAATTCGTTCATCCCATCTAAGGGCGTTATTGCAAATGTTTGTTTGTTTGTGTTTGAAATGCGTTTGACATCAAAGGCAGTTTTGGAATTTGTTTTTCTTTTGTGTGAAGGATGGGCTGGGGGCTGTTATATATTATTAAGTAGTAATAAGAAATTGAAATACAAAATGATTTATTAGTATTGCTGTGAGAGTGCGCTGTTTCCCAGTTTTTTTTTTCATGTGTATTGTTAAAGATATGGTTCTCTGTATATTTATAAGGGAACAAATATATATATTTATATATTGAAGTTAACGTTTAAATTGTGATCATGGTCAGTTTTGATTCTGCAATTGGATACAGATCGCTGTTTCCCAGTTAATTGTCACCGTTTTGATGAACATCGAAAAGGTACGCACTGTCTCACTTCACTGTACTGTATTCACTGTACTCTCCTGTTCGTCTACATTAATCTTTAGATTACTTTCTCAGATCGGCGCAATTAGTCTTGTTAAGTGTCGCCGCACACGGGCGACCACAACCACAAAACGCCGCCACCGGCATATTTCTTGTAGTTTTCATACGTTTTATATGGGCTCGCCACACACGGTACGCGCCGGTGGCCGCCACACGCTACAAATCGCCGTTGCTCGCTTCTTGTGGCCCGCACCGGCCACTTAATGCGCCGATACAAAACGCCGCCACACGTCACTCGCGCGATTCCCCACCCCTCTCTCCCTTACCTTAGTCGGCCGCTGTCACGCGCTTCAGCCACTTTAGTAGCCGCTTCTAGCTTCTCGTGGCGGCGTTTGTGGCTGTGGCGTGTGGCCCGGTGTGGCGACATTAAGACTCAGTTATAGCCTACTTAGAAAATGGACCCGCATATTTATCTATGTATAGACTTTAAAACCCATAATTGAAGGTTTATCCATACTTCTTCACACTTAAACCACTGAACTGATTTAGATGAAATTTGGTATAGAGATAGTTTGAGTCCGTAAAAACGTCCTAGGACAGTTTTTAGCACCAGGAGATTTTATCCCATAAACATATATAAATGTTAGGTCATCCTGCGGTTGACCGAAGTGAGACCAAGAATTTATCTGTGCCCATTAATAATCTTTCAAAGCATGAAAAGTTTGTATGGGAAACAAAAAAAGCTAAAGGTTTTCGTAAAAATCGGAGATACTCATCTTTTTGACTAAATGACTGTAAATTTGGCACTCCAGCGCTTGTCTAGTATCGTGTTATGCAAATTGTTGAATACAAAATCTGAATACTGTCGCAGTGCTGTAACGACAACTAAATTCTATTTTCGGTAAGTAAGTTGTTTACTTTTCGAAGACACAAGCGTTTAGTAAAATACGTTTCGCGTAAGTTTACAAGTTTTTAATGTAAGTATGAAGATATATTGTTTTAAACTTTTTGGTCACTAACATTATAGCTATTAACGGGATTGTTACCATGTACCTTGTTTTTTATGAGTCTCCGATATTTCGGCACTGTTGCAAGCGCCATGATCACGGAGTAACTGAAGTAATTGCGGGTAGATGTTATTGGCAGACATATCGGTCTACCCTCTGACGTTGTCTTTTACTGCGCTCGATACCCATACCATGATACGCAGAAATCAGCTATCGCGGAACATTTAATCGATTCGGGTCCGAATCACTGGATTGAGCTCCATAATCCACAAATCATCTCGACAGAACGCCACTACATACCAAGATTGATCAGGGAAGCGATTGAAATAACCAAACACAAGAATTTCAATCGTGAGGATGGGTTTAAATTGTCAAGTGTCTGGAATCCAGTGGTTCGTATGTGCAAAAACCGTAAAAATCAAAAAAGTGTCGTTCCGCGATCGGATACTGTGAGTATTGTGTGTCGGGAACAGGTGCGAGTGGATATTGAGAATGTGACCAATGGTAGGGGTATCGAGCGCAGTAAAAGACGACGTCAGAGGGTAGACCGATATGTCTGCCGATAACATCTACCCGCAATTACTTCAGTTACTCCGTGATCATGGCGCTTGCAACAGTGCCGAAATATCGGAGACTCATAAAAAACAAGATACATGGTAACAATCCCGTTAATAGCTATAAAGTATGAAGATGTTGAGTCAACTGTATATGGCGGCA